ATCGAGCGTCAATGCTGAGAACCTCCAGTGACATTAATTAGAATAGATTAACAGAAAACTCCTTGTAAGATAAATACGGGCATTAGCGAATGAACACATCCCTGGCCACAGTTCAGTCCCCGCACACACACGTTGGCCCGTAGGCCTCGTCGTTCTGAACCAGGGGAGTCATTTAAGGATGAACAGTTTAATTACAGAGCTAATAAGTGTTGCCACAGACTTTCTAATATTATTCTGGGAGAACACTAGCATGTCATTACCCTCCTCCCCCTGAGGAACATTTCCTATTAATCATAATGAGGAATTTGTTAGCATGTGGTCATGTCAGTTGGGATCAATTTCTTTTACCTAAGCTTTCTATGAAGCTGCCAGACGCTCGGGACGGAGTGTGGACGGGATCGATTTACAGTCCCGCAGCCATTAGGCCCTGTTTTGTTTTTGTTGTTTTTGTTATTTGATAACTCATTTGCATCAGCGCAGCAGCTGCCGAATGCGCATTGTAGTCGTTTGTTGACCCGCTTGCACAGATACTTTCTTGCTTTTCACACTAAAACTGTTGTTTATTTTAGGATGTAGCTGATGCCTGTGGCCCTGACGTTTGCTGATGGACTCTTGTGGTGTTTTTTGCTAATAATGTAATAATTTGTGTAAGCAGCATATGCAGTCAGGCTGTCAGATTTTAGAAAAGCAATTTACACTGGCTGTGGTTTTATTGGTCATGTAATGGCACCTCAAGCTCTGAAAGAAAAGCTACAGTGACACAAAATGGCTCCCAGCTTGCCACAAGATTGAGAAACAGTAGTTCACACGAATCAAGTAAAACCTCAGTCATAATCGACCTGTACAGCTCGCGAAATGGAGTTCACACATTTGCCGGGGTTTGCTCCGAAAGCGCATTCGGCGTGTGGGTGAAGGAGGGTGTTGGCCAACTGTTGCTGGATGGATTTGGTGTCAGTTTGATGGATTTAGCTCTGAGCTTTCACTTTTTCAGCTAAGGCCGCCTCACACTTTCCACTGGCACATTCATATGCAAATAGTGTCTGATAGAGGGTAAGAGCTAAGCAGATAGAACAGTGGACGGACACTGAGAGAGACATGCGAAAGGTCACGGCAGTGAGAAACTAGAGAATCTTTATAAAAATGGATATGGTGTGAACGGCTGCGTCTCGAACCTTCTGTTATAAATAACTGGCTGCTATCGGAGTGGGAGACAGTGGTGTTGAAATGAGGAATGAAGTTTTATTAATCAACATAACCGGGAGTAGAACCAGACGCAAGCAGTTTTGCAGTGCTGTATTTACTGTTAAAGCGTATTGTTTTGGAAACATACTCTTGTTCTAATGCTGTTGTATGCCTGTGAGATGTTGGTTCTGTTCTAAAACCTTGTGAGTTTCCTACTGACATGAAAATTGATCTGAAAATAAAAGTTTACATCTTTTTTTGGCCCAAATCTAAGAAGAATGCAATCCCATAATGTATTGGGGGGAAAAAAGGTTAAATAATTAATTATACAATACCAAAAAATACCTATTCCTGTATTTTTACCCACAATTTTACCCCACATTTATGCTGTTTATGCTTGTTAGAGTACTGAGGATAGGGACATATTGAAATCTCAAAAACTGCTTATAAAATCTGACATGAACTGTCCCATAAATGTTGTTTTTTTTATCCTAAAAAAGCATATATTTCAGGTCAGTCCTGCCAATATGCATATTCAGTCCAAAGCGCAAGTCTCAGGACACTGACTGTTTCTATGGGATTTCAATTGGCATTTGGCTCTTTAATTTAGAAGGCAGGACTTACTCGGTCTAAAACCAATAACTGCAGCATATCTTAAAAATTATATGCTTTTTCAACATTTTGAAACATTTTCTCCTTGTTATGAATAGAGGCTTATGACTAGGTTGTAGTGGTGTTTCAGAAAACAGCACATTTCATAGTTTAAGAATAGCCACATCTTAGATCAGCCTGATCACATTAATCACAATCAATAAGCTAGCATGAAATTAACTGTCATCCGTGTGCAAAAACCAATCAGATCGGCCCATCAACTCGCACACTTAAAAGGTCGCAATGTGATAGGCTTTCATTAGGATTATTGCCATTTCATTTCCATAGAATTATCTCGAGCAGGCATAATGAAATGAGATGTGCTGCTCGGATGAACAGAAATACAAACATTCAGCCAGTGACAGGCGTCAGCCACGAGTTTCCTCTCTCACTCGGTTTACTCTCCTTCGTGACACCCTCTCATTCTTTCGTAACACTCAAATAAGTGTCTTGGATCTCTGTTAATGACAACCCTGTCAGGGACCGATTGCTGAGAAAGCCATTCCCTCACAGCCAACTTACAACATATCTGATTTCTGCTTTTGATATTAATCAGTCATTTTTCATGGGTTTTTAAGGAAGTGGAGCAGATGTAAATTGGCGGTTATTTGTCAGGCAGGCATGTCAGCAGAATCTGTGTGTTGCTGAGTGGACGGTAGCAGGCAGCCAGTGTGGGCTGCTATAATTTCCCAGGTGTGCTGCACAGCTGGGTCACAGGCTCATTCTCCTTCATCACACAGTTAACCTGCACTGACTCAGCTGAAGCTGTTTTGAGCATCCTCAGCAGGTGAATGCACAAGCTGCTTGTTTATTGTAAAAGACACACTGGTTCTGATCTGATTGATTGCTCTTTGTCATGTAGGTAGAGTAGATGGATTAACGGTTCTGGTTTCATAAACATTTCTTATTAAAACTCAAGAACAACTTTAAAGTCAACATGAAATACCATGTGCAACCCATTTTACTTCTGTAATCTGACGTATTTCTGAGTGAAACAGGATATTCAATGAGAAAAAAGGCTTGATTTTCTCCATCTGGAATTCATTTACATGCAGGTTACATGCCAGAATAGAGCCAAATTGTTGGAAGGAAAAAAGACAAGTTGTTTCAGAAGTGGAGCATTTTATTACATTTTGATAAAATTCAAAAACCAAGCACAAAACTTATTTTGTTAAATTTATACTTAATATTTAAAATCTATAAATATATTTAATTATATATTATTATTTATATTACATATTGTCATATTGATATTTTTAAGTTTCATTAAATAGGTACTAAACAAATGTGATATTTAAAAAAAAAAAATAATAAAAACATTGACAAACCTTTTCTTGTTTGGAATAATATGCACCAATAAATCATGCACAGTAAGACCAGGAAGTAGGGTTGTGATGTTGATTAAATGTTCCCACCGGTGAATCAATGTGAGGGGGTCATTGGAGTTTTCCCTCTTTTCCTCGTTTTCCTTCGCTTTTAAATAGCTTATAAATGCCCATGCACATTTTACTGTCAAATTAGCGGCAATTCTGCATCAGTTGCTTGAATGGACAACAACAAAACAGTACAACAACAAACTCACTTATATTAAACATAGTACTTTTATTATCAAAATGATTAAAATACACCATGCTATAGGCCTTATATAAAATAACAAATAACTTACACAAAGTTTTAAAAAAAAAACTGAAAATCAGCAAACACTGTGGAAACAAATAAATAAGAAATAGGCTATAGAAAGTTTATTAGCAAAATGAATACGAAAGTTGGAGACACGGCATACACCTTGATGTAAAATAAAATAAATAAATTACACGAAGTTTAAATAAAGTAAAAATCAGCAAACACTGTGGAACCAAATAAATAAGAAACAAATATTTTTTTTAAAACTTCCAAAATCAACTTGGATAAACGCCAAACAGGTGCTTTTGCATTTCATTTCGAAACTAAATCCTCAGTCATCGTCTATCTCACCTCACTCTTCTTGTCACTCTCCTCACGTGATAAATGAAATCTGACTACTGCTGTTGATCTGTGAAGCGACTGTCGTTCGGCACGCTGCACTGAGCAGTCGAGTTCAGTTTTTAATTGTAGTGTCTGTCTCTAACTGAACTAAATGATCTTTGTTACTATAACACCATCAACACAACGACTATCGCGGCAGGAAGATTAATGAATTAAATATTGTCCATTTTTATTCCATGCTGTCTGTAAAGTGAAGCATGTCTTTTCTACGCCAGCAGCAGCATCAGAATTGCAAAAATAACGACTCTGTTTGGTGCTGCTAGTGGTATAGAAAATGACACACTTCATTTTATCCTGATTGTGGTTAGCCAATAATAAAATCTTACATTCGCTGAAAAAAGTACAAAACTGCCACTGTGGTGGTGCACTTTCAAAAGGTACTAATATGTACACTTTAAAAGTACATATTAGCACCTATTATGTATCATTTAGGGGTAAATAAGGTGCAGAGATTTAACTTTTGTACCTTAATGTACTGCCCCAGTGACAGCTTTGTACCTTTTTTTATGAGAACGTAGTCCAACATTTTTTTATTTAATTGTCAGCCAATACTGTGAGCACAATGAGTACATTTCATACTGATTGAATGGTCCGTTGATGGTAAAATAAGTTAAAATGATGATTTCACAGGTTTTTGTGAGTTTCTGTCTGCGGTGGGACACCTGGGCCTGTACAGTCTCAGGTCTATTCTTGTGTGGGCTCATCAAACTCACACGACTCCCTCCGTTTTATTCCATTGTGCACATAAAAGCATTTCATTCACCCCCCTCAACCAGCAACTTTAATTACCACTGTACTAATTACATCAAATCACTGACATCTCCATCTGATACGGCAGGGACTTCAAAGACTAATTGTCTTTGAGCCCTGCGTTTTGGGAAGAAAGCACTGCACAGAAATACCAACCGCATGTTCTGTGCCTCCGTCTCATTCTGTGGCTCGTATTGTGTGTCAAGTAGGGCTGCACGATTAATCGCATGCGATATTTAACGCGCATCTTGTCAGAAAGCCGGTTCTGTAATCAGCGGTAAATCTCCATCAAAATATCGCATGCGATTAATCGTGCAGCCCTAGTGTCAAGCGAACATTTCTGACTGTTTATTTACTGTTTTTTTCTCCTCTCTCTCTCTGTCTGTTTGCAGTACGACAGTGAAAACATGTTCATGAGTATGCCAGAGCCCAGCCAGGACTTTGTGCCAGGGAACCAGGTGGGTTAATTACTGCTCACTCCTTTTGTTTTAAGTCGTAATTAAACAAATTTAAGCTGGCACATCGCAAATTAGAGCCGCTATCAGTCGCCACCATAATCAGGGGCTACTATAACATGTAAACAAAACATTTAAAGCTTTGTCTCAGCTTAATGAAATGAAGCTTTAATGCATATTGTCGCAGGCTTTCATTTCCTCCATTTACACTTTCATTAAAAACTACACACAGTACTGTAAACAAGGCCACGGGTCTATAAAAGGCAGACTGCAGCGTTTCTGAGCAATGCTCCTCTCGTTACGGCCGTTACTCACCGAGGGAAGTTTATTTCAGGATACTTGTGCTTGTTCGAACAACTAAGATAAAAGGCTGTTTCATCAGTGACTCAAGCTAGATAGTTCAGCACATCTTGCTATAAAAAGCACAGCTTGATTAAATTTTTAAACTAAAGCATGCAATTCGGTGCATTAAGGTCAAGAGTGAACGTGCCTGCTTGAGGAGAGCAGGTTGTCTTAGGGGACCTTTTACATATTTGGCTAATAAATTACGACTACAGGTTAATTAGCTCCCCTCAGGACACCTGCCACATTCTGCTGTATGGAAATGAATGTGACAGGTGGCCCGATGCACCGTAGACAGACTGATCATGTGTGCAAGTGCAAAATTGGAACTAGGATTTTTTCCCGCAGTATTTCTCCCCGCTAGTTTTATCAGCCTGCAGCAGGCTATATATGATGTTGCTGCTCTATTAAAACGTTTCCTTCCTGCTTTTGTCATGAGCTGTTTGGGTTTGGTCTGTTTTTATAGACGTATTGATCTGAACTATGTGCTTGCATTCCATGAAATTTAAGCAAGCTACATTTTGACATTTCAAACTTCGAATGCTATACACAATGGGATGCTGAAATATTACTCAAGGTTAAAAACAACTTTTCTGTACAGTGCCTTGACGCAGTAAACACAATGAAAGCACTGCATTCAATCTGTTTGTGGATCACAGAGTTTGGGCTTTAATGTGTAATGTGCAATAGCTCCTGCTCTGAAATAACCCCCTCCCTCCCCATCTCACTTGTGTTTTTCTTATTACAAGTTGAAAAAGTGTTATGAGTAATTATTCCATTTGCAAAAGTCAATTTAATAATGAAACACGTTTTAAGAAAAAACTGTCCATATGGTTTGGCAGCCTGCTCAAAACATCTCCTGTCTTTTGGTTTGACATAAGTAACGTTTAACAGGTCTCTGTTCTGCTGAAATGTGTGAAGGTTCAATTCACACCTTTCTCACGCATGTCAAAAATTATTATTTAAACTCAATCATGAACACATTCACTTGTGGTTTGACTAAAGAGGACAATTAGTCAAACTGCATTTTTTTAAATAATGTAATATAATATAATATAATATAATAAAATAAAATAAGCAACAACAACAGTAAATTATTATTGTTAATAATAACAATATTATAATTTAACATAGCAACTAGCCAGTTGGAGTATTACTGATTTTAAAAAATTAACTATTCTAATGTAATATAATATAATATAAAAAAGTAACTATTCAGTCAAATCTAACCTAACCTAATCTAATCTAATCTAATGTCAGTGGGCAATTAATTATATACTGATCTATATATTATATTATATTTGGTTATATATTATATACATTTATGGTTGGCTGCAAAGCTGTTACTTGCCAAGTCAAGAGTTTTAAATGTGCGTGACTAACTATGATGTCATGTTGAAGTCACATGATTCACGCTTGAAATACATATAAACACAGTACATATACATAATCTTATGTGAGTCCTAAAAGCTCTTCAATAAGCATTCACAGTGCATTGTGATATAGAGAATTAGTGAGAATTACAGTCTAACCTGAAGGCTATAGAGAGTAAGCACAGTGGTGTTATGGCTTTCAATAGCAAGAGGAAAAATAAATAAATGATATTTGACTCATGTATTATTCAGCACGCTGTGGCAAATGCATTCAGGAGAATGTAAAGGAAAGTGCACTAAATTGCAGGTCACTTGTTCGTTTCGTGGAGTTTATACCTCTTTAAACAGGAAAAGCTGCATATGGTCCTATTGTGCCACCCATTATATAGCCTGAAATTGATTTACAATGTGCACTGTCTGCATTGTACATTCCCAGTCACTGTGTTTAAGGTGCTAACGCTGCATGTTTGCTGCAGCTTTAATGTTGGTGGAGATGAAAGATGCATTGAGAATATAAAGCAGCATAGAGCCAAAAAAAAAAAAGGATTGAAGAGTGATGAAAGTTGAATGGAGTCTTGCATGTACTATCGTTTCTTGTTACCCTGCTGTGTCGGTTGACCCCTTGGCCTTGCATCCCACTGTAGTTCCGCGTGCCTGCCAGTCCCAGCCAGACGCACCACAGCAACAAACAGGCCGGCGGCCACTGGAAAAGAGACAACCCTACACACACGGACAGCCCCCGTCTGACATGGGTAAATAACCCCACACCAACACCGAGCAGACGTCCATCAGTGCAAAATAACAGCAGCTTACATAATTTGTGTGTTACATGCTGTGTGTTTCTCCTCCATATGGACCCTTTTTACATTTACACTATTTTTTACATTAACACTTTGTTAAAATAAATAAAATAAGTTAAAATCAGACACCATAGCAAATGTCCCTTTTGTCTTAAATACAAAACAAAAATTTGTTTAAAAAAAAATTAAGTTACTTGACATTCTAAAAGATGAAATATAGTAAAATATTCATAGAGATTATATAGAGATTATATAATATTAAAAGATTAATAGAGAGTAGGCATGGGCCGGTATGAGATTCTGACGGTATGATAACCTTAGATAACAATATCATGGTTTCATGGTATTGCGATTACAGCTCTAAAATATGTTATTTTTAAATGTCGGTAAAAAACAACATTTTTTTCCCGACTGAACACAATACATTTTATTTTTAAGAAACATAGAATATTTTGGAACACTCTATAAACATGACAGGCTAAATAATTAAAATAAATAATTGAATTCTTCGTAATTAAATTAAGTGCAGTCACTTAAGTGGGCCTAAACCTGCAGCTCAACAATAATCAGAACATAAATTATTTTCTGTAAAAAAAAATTAAAAAAATTCCTTCTACATAAAAATAAATAAATATAAAATGCAGTAATTAAACCTGCAGCTCAACAAGGTTTTTGGAGACATGCTCACTTTCTACACATTCCTCTTTCAGTCCAAGTTATGATCCAGGAATGTTCACCTTTCCTGGATTAAGTTCGGAGCGGTGAGGTACGAGGATGTGTGCACATACACAAGGAAAGAGAGAGCGCGAGTGTGTTACACACACACACACACACACACACACACACACACACACACACACACTCTCTCTCCAACAAGGTTTTTGGAGACATGCTCGCTTTCTACACATTCATCTTTCAGTCCAAGTTATGATGCAGGAATGTTCACCTTTCCCGGATTAAGTTTGGAGCTATGGTTTGGAGCGGTGAGGTACGAGGATGTGTGCACATACACACATAAGGAAAGAGAGAGCGTGAGTGTCACACACGTGCACGTGGTCTCCGTACAACACGTGGCAAAGCTTTTTTTTTTTTTTTTAATGCGTGATTTTGAACAGATGTAAACAATGGCAGGAGGCTTAAAAGTATAGACGTGATACCAGCTAAATGTAATTATTGTACTAAATCGCAGAAACCTAGTACTTTAGTCTGCTATTCCTCGCTCTGTGAAGTGACGTTAACGTGAGGGAGCAAACTTGTTAGCTAGTTAATTAGCCATGTAATCTGCATCGGTAGCAAGCCAAATAGTATTTATTTCAACACTGAAACAAACGGCGGTTGGGTCTCTGTCTTGATCGGGGGTGAAGAGGGAGAAATGAAGATGACACAGATATGTAGTTTATGTACGACCTGAAAGTATTTATTTAGCGATCGGCGCTAAAACGTCTTCTGTACGGAACATCATTGTGTACAGAACATGGTTAGTCTACGTTACCCGAAAAATTCCCATACGGCAGACTTCATCTTTTTCGACGGGGAAAAAATTCCAGGGATTCACCTCCTTCGGCCATCCCACACACAGGTGACTCTCACTGACTGACTGACTGCTCGCAGCCTCGCACCAACCGGAGGGGGAGGGGTCGTGTGACTCGTTACGCTTACGCTGCACACAACCGAGGGAGTCCTGCACTTTCCGTCTTTGATGACACGTAAAAAAAACTGCGCATACCGCAGGAACGGTATAACGGACAATTTTAGTGGTTTTGAAACCGTGACTTTTCCAAACCGCGGTATACCTTGGAACTGGTTATAGTCCCATGCCTAATAGAGAGATAGATGACAACAATTTACTTTAAATTCCTGTATTTGAAACTGTATGTGATGATGCTATAGTATAACATAGCATATGTGACCATGGACCACAAAACCAGTCATAAGGGCCAATTTTTCAAAATTGAGATTTATGCATCATCTGAAAGCTGAATAAATAAGCTTTCCATT